CTAGATATTTCCAGACTGAGTGTTTGGAAGTGATGGGGTGGTATGGGTGGAAAGACCTGACAATGGTCTCATTATGTACACCCTTTACTCACCCCAACTTCCATAGTAAAGCAGGCCAGAACATCCACATGGATCATCCTTATTTTCAGACACTGCCATCTATTTCTCTTAACTGCCTGCTTCCTCTTACAAGTATTATCCTATTTCTGAATTCTGTCCATCTCCCTCCACCTTCTGTGAAAATCACTGGCACAAAATACATTTGTATACATACATCAACATAATTTTCTTTCCAAAATTAAAGCACCACTGAAAGATCCACATAAATTAAGGACTCAAGTCATCGTTATACCCTGTTCTTCCAATATGTATGATTTCTTTTGTATTATTGATCAGAACAGCCAAGTTACATATGCTCCATTTCCCTCTTCTCTCCCAATCTATCCCTTGGTCAAACTTATGGCACATCCTTTCCTACTGCAAATCCTTCCAGTACACTGTATCTGCTGGAGAGTTCTGGCCTGAATCTACCATAAAAGCAAGCAGCAGACAAGCATGAGGGGTGAGAAAAGAGTGAAAAAGAAAGGATACCTTTCTCATGTCCCCAGCTGCCGCTCCCACAGCTGTCCTCCCAGATCATGGTCTATGTAGAGCGCAGATTCCAGGCAGAGCTGGGTGATCTGAGCTGAGTGCCAGCAATTGCTCTTTTTGGCAGGTTTGCTGGCTGCCCCAAAGTTGTTTGGAAGCCCCCCCACTCCTTTTCAGCATGTGACCCACAGGTGTTGTACTATAGCCAGTCCTCCTCCCTCCCCTCCCTCCAGCATGAGATCCAATCCTCAGCTCTCCTCTGCTTGTCATTTAGAAAGAGGAGTTCTGTCAAATCCCCACCCCCTGATCAATGCCCAAGCTGCAGAGAAGGAATCTCCCCACCCCATGTGTTCTGCTGTGGCTGCAGTGAGACTGAGACACCACACAGACACACACACACACACACACACACACACACACACACATTACCTAGGCTGCAGCCAGAGGCAGTCCCCTCCCCCAGGTCATGGAGGATGCAGAGGGAGCCAGGCCCTGCCCTGTGCTGGTTACCTAGGTTGCAGAAAGAACCAATCCCTTGCCTCTGGTCCCTGCTGAGGATGTAGAAGAAAGTGTTCCTCCTTGCATTCGTCACCTAAGATGCAAAGCACACAGCCAATTGCTTTTTACAGCCTCCACCCCACCCAGGTCATCCTGTGAGCTGCAGCAGTGTTCATGTCTCTGTCTCCTTGAAAAGCTCCCATGCCTGGATGCTCCACCCAAACCAGGCAATGATGCTTGCGGATGGTGCAGGGGGAACAACATTAAAGAAGCCTTTCCAGATAGCACTGAATATTTCCTCCTCCTTTCTCCTCCTTGGAGATTACCCAGAGTTATCTCTTCCTCATCAACTGAGATTTCATTCACTCTCCAAAAGAAGCAGAAAAGTGGCAGGTAACAAAGTAGAGTGTTTTATACAGGTAAGAGATGAAAAGCAACTCACAAGGAAATTTTTGAAATCAGGATTAGAGCCTCCTTCCCCCCAAATCCCCTCCCCAATAATTATCCTGGGATTTCAGTTTCTGAAAACAGACATAAAATAATGGAGTAAGAAATGTAATCTCTCTTTGCCCAAATATTTTTCCCCCAATTCCACTACTACTGAATGAGACGTCACTGGAGTACAGGTGGGGAAGAAGTCACCAGATACAAGAAATGAATACTAGTACGAACATCATACATTAAATGAAATTCTGCATCAAAATTAAATATAATTGTATATAAACTTGCTTCTAGCTCCTTTTTGGTCCAAATTATTTTCTTAATTTTAGGAAAAGGAAGAAAATCCTATTTAGAATGAAAGCATTCCACTACAGGTAGTCCTCAACTTACGACCACAACTGAGCCCCTCCCAAAAAACACTTTGTAGGTACTAATACCAAAACTGTATTTTTCAGTAAGGGAAACTAGATAATTAGGACATCTTCTAGCTTGCAAAGCAAAACTGTGTGGTGGACCCAGCATAAGAAAGCCTCTTCTTTAACAGAAAGAGATTTTGAAAGCCACAATGTCAGTTGCTGCTTTGATCCCTGCTTTCCAAGAGATCCTAGCAGAGGAAGATGAGGATATAGTATATCTTCAGCCTCTTATTTTATTTCATAATTGGTTGTTTTCATTTATATCTCTTTCCATAGTTACTTATCAAAATATCAATTCTGAGTCCCTGCCCTTTATACTTTAGCTTTTGCAACACATAAACAGGCTACATGAGTAAATACAGAAGAATTAGTTGTTAAAAAGTATTTCTTCTGTATGATGGAAGCTATCCCTTTTCAACTCAAGTTTTATTCAGGCATTACTTTTTTAAAATATTTCCAGGATTCTTGGACCTATATTCAACATAGCCTGTCCATATCCAGGGCAAGTCATACACTTTCCAACAACAGTGAAATAAAAAGTATTTATAGCCTACTCCAATTTCTTAGGGAAATCTGATCAGAGAAAAATGAATCTGTTCCCATAAGAAAAGATAGATTTAACAAAATAATCAGGGGAAAAAGCAAAACACCCCAAACTCTCCCAAACTGAAATGGAGTTTTTTTCAGAATTAGTTAAACATTTTAACCAGTATCCTACATTTTATTCTGACAGCTTGCCAAAAACCTAGTTCAGCATTTGGCTCCCTCAGAATTCAAACTCACAACCCACTTTTCAATCAGTATGCAACACGTGGCGATAACAAAGTGTTTCACAATTTAGCCTCATGTTACTGTACAATACATGACATTCTAGTGTAGAAACAGTAATAACATTTTAATAAAAAATGTGTCACAGTATCACACTCTTAGGGATATGGCAACATTTTTGTAAATATCATGTCTTTGCTTAACAACCCTAATTGGGAGTGGAATTTCCATCACTAAGCAAAGCAGTCATTAGGTGAAACAACACATGACCACACTGCTTAGCAAGAGCAGTTCCAGTAGTCTTGGTTGCAGTTGTTAGGTCAGGACTGTGATTTTGTTAGGCAAGGACATCACACTTCTGCCCTGCCATGCTCACCTCTGCTTTAACTCCCCCACCCGCCTATCTACCCCCCATTTCTGCCCTTTCAGCCACCCTGCACTCTCCTGCCTACCCCTACCACTCTGTTGACCATCTGAGGCCCCATGAGGCTTTGGAGAGGCTGCACGGAGGCCTTGCAAAGGGCCAGCAGCTGCCTCTGCCGGGCACACCTCAGCAGCAGCAGGAGGAAAAAGATGGCAAAGGTCATCTGGGGTAGCAGGGGTAGGAGGCAGAGTGCAGGGCAACCAAAAGGACAGAGACAGGAGGGAGATAAGCGCTTGTGTGTGGGGGGGGATTGAAGTGCACACTGCCATGGGTGGGCTGCCAAGCAAATCAATATTAAACAAGTGACCATGGGGGTGCTACAAGGGCTGTAACTTCAAGGGCCAATTGTAACTACAATTCATTCAGCACCATCGTAACTTTGAACAGTCACTGAATGAATGGTTGTTAAGTGAGGACTACCTGTATAGGCCATCTAGAGCTCCCGAGACATATCAAATGGAAATAATGTATTAAGAGAGACCTTGAGTATTAAAATCAAATTCTCAGACAAAAGCAGAGGGAACCCAGTTGGATCAAAGCTGCACAAGAA